TGGAGGGGGTGTGGGTGTGTGGGGGTGTGGTGTGCCTCTGTTCTTCCTTTCCTGCTCTTTCAAAGTGACTAAGTTAAAAATTATAGTTATCCCATTGGGGGTGTGGGGGGTGGAATCAAAAACAAGAAGTGAAAGTGAACCTCAATAACAGAATAAATTACTGTGTACAAATATTGACTAAACACCCACAATGCACACATGAAGACTTCTTTTAAAAAAAGAAACCTACCTCTTTATGCGTAGTACCTAGTTCTTCTTCCAATAAGCTACATCTTTCAAGTGCTACTCGTAACCTCTCCCTTACCTGAAAGAGTAATTTCAAATATTTTTAAATCATTCAAATTAAAAAGAAATCAGTATCACTGATATTGATTGCCATGCAGCCATGCCCTTTCAGGTAATAAATGACACTATTTCCATTACACTTCGAGACCTGCTTAATCTTGAGTCAGTACTAATTACAACATATGCTATAAAAAACCTTCTAGAGAAACAATGCATTTCTTAAAATCTAGCTTTTCCTTTTTTGCAATAAGCAAATCATATCTCAACATGACCTGTACATTTAGGCAAGAATTAAACATACCCAGAATTTGCTTATCCTTTTGTAAGGCACAGAGTGTGTATGCTTTTGCTTATTTACAACACGGAAGAAGAGACAGAATTCTACTTACAATAATTTGCCAGACTTTATATACAAGGGTCACAAAAGTTAGGCAAACTATGAGCTGGCAGCAATTTTCACAGCAAACGTTACCGCTTGCATATCCTGCTGCCAATATCACGCACAACTAAAGGGTGGAGGTCTTTAATTCAGCTTTATTTGATGTTACAGTGTAAGCAGATTCCTCTCCTCCTGTACTCTCTAGTCCATTTCTTGTACTACATAATCAGAAGGCTAAATCCTGATATTATACAGGTAAGCAAATGTATGCATTCGTACAACAAATATATTGCCCCTGAACCACACTTAGTTTACATTAGCACAGTTAATGAAGTATTAGAATAAACTACAGCACGTTGCTTTAGTGCAACATATTAATTTAGGAGGGTAGTTACTGATGCAGTTATAGCAAAGCCACTATCTTAATACAGAGAAAAGTTCAGAGAATCTGACTTCTACGACTTTAGTACGAACAACTGCATGGTCCACACAACAGAAAGAGGGAACAGGATGACATGATGTTAGCTACCATATTTCATTACCTTTTCATCAAGGGCTTTATGGTGTTCAAATAAAGATTTCAGTGCTTTGAGAACTTCTACTTCACTAGAAACGCCTGCTGGAGACTGAGCTTGTCTCTTTACAACAGTCATTCTGAGAGATCGCTCATGCCTGGAGACAAGACACTCCAAATGTTCCAGTAACAGCTAAAACAAAAAAAAGGAACAATATTTATTCCTGTTCTGCATAGCTGCAGAAAACTTTGAATCCTAAAACATCAAGTTTTGAGTTCTATACTTCAAACCTGAGAGCCAAAGACTACTGCATCAAGCATACGGACCTGTTTTAATGTTTCACCTGTGTTAGAAGTTGTATCAGAGCTAACGCATTTCCCACTTCTCTCTTTCAGTCTAGTTTTTAAATGAGGTTTCTACTTAACCAGGTCTTTTTAGTTCTGCCACCAATCTGAGCAACTGCATGCTTGTCAGAAGGATACACATAGGAAATGCTTTAAATCGGAGAGCAACTGTTCTGCTGGCAGCAATGTAAGCTGCTGGAACAGATCACTACAGCTTGCCCGCTCTATTCCTCTGATCTCAGGTGTACTATTACAAAACTTTAACAAGAAAGCTGAATGACAGCTAGCAGTGCAGTCTTACAAGCTTTTCCCGATTCCAAACGTTCTTAATCAACATACATTTAGCACTTCAGGGAGATTCACGTGCAAATATCACGGAAAAAATACTTTTAGCTTTTCAAATTCAACATTCAATGTTTTTCTCCATGTAGTTGGATGCTTTAACAACGGTAATCTTGGAGAAGACAAGGAACTAACCCTCGTATTATTTCTTTCTGCTTTCAGTTCAGCTATTTCTTCTTCCCTTTCAAGCAGCTGCTCCCTGCATACATTTAGCTCTTTCGTAAGCGCTGCAAATTCCTGAAATAAACCAGACAAATATAAGCACATCAAATATCGGGACATAGTGAGAGTAGATTCATATGAACACTTGACATAATTTCTTGAAGCATTCATTTCAGATGTCTAAAGCCAATACAGTTGTATTAGTCATGCTAAGCAGGCTTAAGTTCAACCACTTAAAACCGTTACACTGTCAAATGTAAGATAAAAGATGTTTGACCAATACTTTTGAGAACTCATTTGTCTCTCAAGGCAATTATCTGAATTGGCATATCCCTGGTAAGCAAAGGGAAAAAAACTATTTGTAATGCGCTTTGTTATTGTTTCAAAAAGTTGTTGTTTGGTTTCTTTTAAATGACTGCTGAGGGAGACATGAAAAAACAGAGCACTAAGCAAAAACAGAACCCAGCAAAAACATGACAAATTTCAAGTCAGTATTTATTTGTGAGAGACAATGCACAACCCTGGCATCTACCAGAACACACGGGTTACTTCTTCATAGTAATAGAGCATCCTTGAAGCTTCACCACTGGAGGACTCAGACCTTTATGGGTATTTATCTACTTAAGCTACATACAGGGATTTCATTTATCCTACTTTCAAATCTCTAATTTCTAAATTTTTGGGTTTCTGTCAGGAAGACACAAGTGTACTGAATATCTGAAAGAGCAACTACATCCCAAACTTCTTCCACTTTATCAACAGCCTCACTAAAAATATTCAACATAAAAGGCATTTAAACTTTCTATGAACTCAGCGAACATACTGTGGATAGAATAAAAGATACAACTAACACCACATTTATAAGCAAATACTGAGCCTAACCTTATCTACCTACTTACTCTGGCAAAATTTAAGTTGTAATCTGAACCACATTAGAAATTATTATTAACAGTAAGCGTGAATATGAACAAGCCCATGCTTTAGAAGAGGGCTTTGTAGGAAATGGGAAAAAACCTCATGTCATCAATGCATCTTAGGATGAGAAAATAAATACATATCAGTCACTCCAATGGCCGGTGAACACTTCAGAAGCACTTGTATCAGAAAACATTGAAACACTAGTAAATAAATTAGTCTTCTCTGTTGTCTAAAATAAGGAAAACACTCTAATAAACAAAAGTCACATCTAATAAACAATAGATTAGTACAGCTGAACTGGCAATGATCACAAGAAGATGAACAAGACAAATGGCCAACTAAGAACAACATACTGTGGAAACACACTGTGCGCACACGCTGCTTCTCTAAATTTTCCAAACTCTGCAAGATATACTGCTTAATAGACAGTAGCTGCATATCAAGTAAAAGCTTAAGATGGAGCTGTTTTGCAGTAAAATTCAAAGTGACAGAAAACACATGCTTAAAAACAAAAGGACACATCAACTAATTATACTAGCACATCTGCAAATTCTAACACACAGCTAAAATAAGCAGACATAGTCAAAAGACACTGTCTGCAAATTCCAGGATTAATTTGGTAAACTTTATTCTAAAACACACATGTGACTGAAAAGACAAAAAATACTGTTGCGCAACATGTACCTACAGTGAACTCCTTTGGAATTACTAATGTATTAGGATTTTAAAGGTTGCTATGAAAAAGATAGTAATACTACCATCACAGATGCAGAAATCGATCTCCATAATCCCTCTTCCTAAATAAAAATCTGCTCATTGGAAAAAAGATTCAGTATAGTCCCCCTAGTTAATCAGCAAATGACTGCAAAAAAGCCTTAATTTCTTTTCCTTTTTCAATTGCTAAAAAAAAAAAAAAATTGGTTTCTGTAACATACTTAATAATTACACTCACATAAATATTTCACTGCAATATTTCATTTGCATCCTTAAAAAAAAAGAAAACTGACTTATTATTTTCAAATGAAAATCCCTGGAAATACACTTATTAAAACAACCTGGTCTATAAATATAGCTACTGGAACTTCTAAACACACAAAACAAACTACAAAAGGTTCCTGAGTGCAAGGTAAACCAAGAAAGGAAAAAACCTACTTCATGCTTCACAGAAACAATTGACTCTACTGTGAGCTTTCCCTGCAGAACACTCCTCTATGTCTGAACTTTCCCTGTACTTTCAATATCCCACCCATGGGAGCTTCCAAGACTCCCAGGCAATTGATGGCACATGTCCCTTTTGCTCCGACACAAGCTTAGGTAAACCAGAAGGTAAACCAGAATGCGCTTCCAAAGTTGCAGTTCTTCACAGGCCTTCCCTACTTATCTTTATGTATTTGATAATTAACTACTACTGAAACTACCAGAAGTACCAATAGTCTCAAAGTATTTGCAAAAGAGCTTGATATGAACTTATTTTCTTGGTGGTGTTTTTGCCTTTTTCACAATAATTAAAAAGACCCTCAAAATGCCAGCATCAAAATTTACAAGCATTGTCATTACACAATTCTCCAAAGGACATCGGACCGATATGGAACATTCTATATTTTTCCAGTCTCTACCTCAAGTCTTGAGAACAGAATAAAGAAAGCAGTAAAGACTACCAGACACTGTCTGGTCATCCTTTCTCAACTTAAAATCACTGTATAGCGTTAATATACATTTTCTTCTCTAAGACATGTACGAGCTTCATCTTCCGAAAAATAGCTGTATATTTGAAAGGAAGTCTATTCACTCTTCAAATGATTATAGTACATACAGTTCTATTCCATTGCATACTTCTGTGCAAATATAAATTGTAGCACAAATACATCATAGTTATAACACAAACCACCACACTCTCAGATGATCCAAAGAAGAACAATGCACACAGGAATTTATATTGCTGCTGCACAGACAGACTGACACATATTTCGGGCATTGCATAATACCTCCATCGCTGTTTGTTCTGACATAATGTAGTTGCTCTGAGTCCCATAAGCTGCCTAAGAAAGAACACTTGAATGTCCTTAGTTTCAGCTGACACTGCCAAAAGGCATGTCCTTTCTAGTTTTAATACTTACCTTCAACAGTAGACAATTTGTGATTTCCTCAAGCAGTTCAAAAGGAGAGAAACTATTTGTAACTTTATTATCTCAAAAAAGTTTGAGTTGTCTCAATTTCTTCCTTGGCATTAGATGAATGTACAGAAAGAATTAAAGGAAAAAGAAAAATCCTGAGAAACTTTTCTACTTATCCACAAAGCTGTATTACTTATTCCGTAATTAAGGAGAAGATTGAGAACATCAGAACGAAGTTCTGCTCTGCTTCTGCTTGCCATCAAAATAATAAATACCCAACTCTGAGGCCTGACAAGAATGGGACTCAGAATAAGCACTCTAGAGCATGTACAAGAAAGAGTCAGAGTGCCAAATATACTAGGTAAATATCCCCTGTGGATTAGAACATACTGACAAACACTCATACTCTATACTGAACTGAACTGTTTACTGAAGAAAGTAACTTTCTGAACCAACTGAATCATTCCAAATATGACACCCTTGCTGCCAGAAATAAATACTCTAAAACAAAAAGCTAAATTAACAGAAAGTAAGTTTGTTGTTGTTCAGTAATACATTTTCTGGGGTTTTTTTTGTCCACAACCTCCATGAATTTTTAAAGCAATAGCATTTCTTCTACATCAACCTTCAGAACTGACCTTCAACCTTTAGTATTTTAGAGGCCACAACATAAACATCCTTCCAAAAGTTGGATCAGCTGGTGTCTAGCTGTCAAGCCTGTACACTTCTGATGTCTCAGCTGACAGCCGCTTGGTTACTTGCGAGATCTCGGTCCAGGAACATCACAGCTTTCAGGGAACAGGTTCTCTTCATGTTTATTACAAGCGTAATTTATAGGTTCCACAGATAGTACATCACAAACCAATAAATGCTACATGACAGAAAAGACAGTATTTAACTTTGGGAAAAACTTGAAAGAAACAGAAGTAACCCCTGAAAGTCTATGAACATAAGCTGTGTATTAGGGATGCTCTTTGCTACTACGATTGCACACAAAGAACTCTAAGTTTGCTTGGGATTTGCTCAAGCAAAAAAATTTATTCCACTGTAAACCACAACACCACTCTTGAGTACATAAGGATTCATGGATTACAGGCAAAAAGATGACCAGAAAGCTTATTTAAAGGATGAAAATTAAAGGATGAAAAGATATTAAAAAGAAACATATTTTAAATGCATCAAAGAAAATACTATTAAATACTATTAAAGTAGTATCTTCTGGCAATACTAGGATGAAGATGTAACTGTTGCATCTTTAGGAACATCTCTGCCAGAAATACATGAGTGGAATTTATCTGTTTTATCTCCAAGTAATATTTTGTTTTACTGTTAACATTCTGTTCTGTAGCCTGCATATCAAACAACCCACACAAAAATCTGAGAAGCTGAAGAGAGCATGAGAAGAACAACTGGGGAGAGTGCAGGCCATCAGGGATGAGAAACCAAGGGAATCTGAGAAGTTCCCATCATGCTATTTACATTACATATAAACCACAATTACTCCAAATGATACATGCATGAAAATGACAAGTATACAGTCTTAAACAAAACAATCAAAGAAAACCTAAATATCTAAGCTTAACAAGGTATATCATAGCCACATTTTAAACCTAAGGGTTTTAGGTAGCACACAGTGACCAATATTCCCAATATAATCTGAAGTTCCCAGCAAGCAAATTTTTGTATCTATTAAGTCACACCAGTTTAGCTTTTTTTTTTTTTAAGCTAACAGTCACATTTATGAAATAATTCAAGGGTATTTAGAGTTAAAACTGAAAAGAATTGACATGCTTTAATAATTAAATCCAGCCTTCCAAGAAAACAGAGTTACACACACTTTAACAACAACAAATCCAGAAGAAAGACCAACCAACACAAATTGTGCTTTGCCTGTTCAGTGTAATAAATCAGATTGCTTTCAACCTTTCTATATCTCTGGCATGTGCTAATGGGAAAGAGAAAAATCAGTCTAGAGTGCATGAAGAAAAATATTTCGTTTTTCACCTAGTGAAATTAATTTCCACTAAGTAACAAGCAGCCTGG